GCTTCAAACACAATCACGGTCGCAGCCTGCCCCGTGAAGGACTTGCCGAAGAGGTCAACGACAGCACCACGAACTCGGGAAAGGTCGCAGGGCTCAGGGCGCGCAAACCCTGCCGCCCAGGCAAAGCACGGCGAGACCAGGGATGCCACAAGATGACAGTGGACGCTGCGGCTGGAGGTCACAGTGCGCAGCAGCCTCAAGCGCGCCAGGGCTTTGTCAACCTGAAACTTAAGAAGACTCCACTCTGAAGTGAAAGGAGCAAGTACCCCCAGGATTTCAAGCGTGGTAGCCCTCTTAAACCCAAACTCGGCCGCAAGGGCATCGGCATGGGGATCAGGGTCCCGGGTGACGATGGCACTCTTATCTAAAGACAACGCAAACCCAAAAGCCCGGTCAAACTCCTGGGAGCTGTGCAAAGCAGGCTGCAGCAAGGTGCTTGGGGAGCCCGCGGGGACCCAAAGCGTGCGATCATCCACGTAGCTGAGGCACCGGGGTCCGTCAGAGGGACCGGAGGACCTGATCCAGGAACACCAAATGTGCCCAATGGCTGATGCCAGCATCGGCGAGAGCGGGCAACCTTGAGCAATGCCCATAGAAATCTCCCGCCACCTGCCCGAGAGCGCCTGACTCATGCAGAAGATGCGCTGGGCCCCTTGGTAAAAGTGCCCAAGGAGATCAGAGATCTCCTGTGGCAGGTGCAAGTGCTCCATACACCGTCGAAGCACAAAGGGCCCGATGGAGTCGAAGTACGACGAGATGTCGAGCTGGGCAAAGCAGGAGCAGCCCTCGTCGAAGGCCCTACGGATTTGCATGAGGCTGGTGGCCACCGAGGTGGCTGGTAGCCCGCCCATAACATGAGACTCCTGCCAGCTTTCTATCCAAGGCCTCAGCTGATCCTTAAGAACACGACAGCCAGCTCTCCACATCGCCGGGAGCAGCGATATGGGCCTCGTTTTCTGTCTTGCTTTCCACAGCAAAGCAACTCTAGCTCGCTTCCAGATGCACGGGACCCGTCGGACCTCGAGGATGGTAGACCAGAGCTGCGAGGCCAGGTCCCACCAAGAGCACGGGAGGTGACTCATCTCGGATGGCCGCCAGTCGTCAGCTCCGGCAGCCCTTCCTTGCATGGAGCGCATAGCAGCCTGAAGAAGCCCCGGGGAGAACTGGAGTTGCACCGTACACGGCCTCGGCTGTGGAACAGCAGCAAGGATGCGCTCGACAGCCGCCGGATCATGCCCAGGGGGCTTGCACCACACATCGGTCCACCTATCAGTCTGCTCCTCGACATCAACGGCCGGGCGCCACCCATCCTTGACCTT